TATATTCTTAGCACACTGTTTTCAAATTTGAGACTAGTTGACTTATTTTATAAAATTAGTCGATTCTTTTGATCGAGACATGCTTATTAGCAGAAACAACAGGTTTCAAATAGAAAGGTACGTCATAGTATTTAAAAATAAATCAAATTTTGTTCAAATGTTCATATGTATTTGAAATGACATGAAATATAATTAAGGGTGTAGATGTTGATGTGGGTATGCTATTCGTCTATCACACACCCAACACTCGCTGGACAGTATTGTGATGATATTACAAGTACCACCGATAGGGACTCGTGGTCCTACTAAAGATACTTTTATAACAATCCAACGTTTGCCATTGTTACCGTAGGAACAAATAACTAATGGATGCCGATTTATTTTCGTTTCTTCCCTAACAAAGACGGTGAAGGTTGTATGTTGCACTGCGCTACAAAGCGAGCTTGCATTAGTAACCAATGAGCTGAAGCAACAAACAACAAAACAACATTAATGAGTTGAAAACTTTTCATTTTTTTTCCTTTTTCAATACGTTGTGCACATAAATGAGCAAACAAAAAAGGCATACTGTAGTGTAAAGAAAAATTGTGTGCACATAGCAGCATTTGTTTTTCGTTAAAATACAAGAAGACAGAACAGAAAAAAATTCTATTTCACGTCGACTGCGACACAGTTTGAAAGAATCTTATTGCACAAAGATGATAATAATAAATCATCAAGTTTTACCAACTTCAGAAATATTATAAAATGAAAATATCTTGAGATTAGTTTAATAAGATCTTGTCTCTTTTATAAAAGAAAACGTAGGGAATGTTATGTCTATTTCGTCTAAAATTATATTACAAAAAAGATAGAGCGATGTTTTGCACTTTTAAAATTTAAGAGAAGAAATTTGAATCATAACTCAAATATAAATTGGTAGATCAATACTCTCAGTTTAGTAATAACAGAAAATAGTTTTATTCTTTTCAGTCGATGGTTAAGTGAGTCGAACCGACGAACGTTACTTGTTGTTAATATTACTATCACAAATACATTGTTTCATATAACGACATATTACGAATATTATATATGTTTATATTTATCAGTAGTCAATCATTCATAATAATATTTACACATGTAGATCGTAATTATATTATAGCAATACGGTTATAAAAATAGAATATCTGATCAGATATTTATATATGTTTTGATGAATATAGAACTGTCAGGAATGTAATTGAATACAAAATGTATATACGATTAGGTCATCCACATAATATAGGATTTCGATCAAGTATTTATAACATTGTATGAAAAATGCTTATAAACTTAGTTTGTCAAATGAGTATAAAGATTCGAAGTCGATACTAAAGGCAAACAAAAAAGAACTGCTATCATACGAAATTGTAATCTGAATTCTCCTGTATGTACAATAAGTTTCGATAATTACGTACTGCTTTGTTAAATCTACTTTTGTCAATAAGATAACTTTGATGTATGATACTTCTACCATGTTTTTTCAAGGATCTGAACTTCTCTGAAATAGATATATATTTAAAGAAAAAGAAATTTCCTACTTGTCTTATTTTTAAGCTACGAGTTTGTTTTATTCTATTTCTTTCATTAATTTAGACGTATTTATAAAGCTATTGAAATTAGTTATATAAAAGTATTCTTCTATTGAATAAGAAAATATTTCTACATTTGTAGTCTTACTTACATTATCTCGTTTAGTTTTGTAAGAATTTATTCCGTATTTTTCTTTCTTATCTATATTACATGCAGGTAGAAATACTTCTTTATCTATATAGATATTTTATTATTATTCATCATGACTTGTTTTCTTTTTTTTTTCTTTTTACACTTTTAAATTAATGTAATATTGATGATATTGTTTTAGATACTGTAGATATTTATTTCATGAATTTAATTTAAATTATTATCAAATGAACATTACAAATAATGATGAGACAACAGTGCTAATATCTAGCACAGGTATTCCTTCAGCTGTATCTGACAAACGTTCACCTAATCAAAGACGATTAGCAGTGTATATTATTCTTGCAAGCACTATTTTTGAACGTTTAGCATTTTATTCATTAGCAATTAATCTTGTTGTTACTCTAAAATCTACCGAACCAAATTGGGATCCTTCAAATAGTGCAACAGCTTCCTTTATTTTTTT